GCGCATCCTGATCTGCTCCCACCAATGTCAGCAGCCTTGCACCAGAGAATGCCCTCCGTGCCAGCAAACCTGTCAGAACCACTGTATCCACAGTCGTTGCAAAAAGAAATGTGGAAAGATGTGCATCCCATGTATGGAGCCATGTGAGTGGCGCTGTCAGCACTATCAGTGTACCAAGCTTTGCTCTGAACCGTGCAACAGGCCCCGTTGCGATGAACCATGCACCAAGCTACTGCACTGTGGTCATCCATGCATTGGGTTGTGTGGGGAACCTTGCCCAAAAAAGTGCCGTGTTTGTCACCATGATGAAATCACCCAGATCTTTTTTGGCTATGAAGATGAGACAGATGCTCGCTTTGTGGAGCTGGAGGACTGTGGCCACATCTTTGAGGCCCAAGGCCTTGACCATTACATGGATGATGAAGATGAAACTGTCATCAAGCTGAAGGTCTGCCCCAGCTGTCAGACAGCCATTAGGAAGAACCTGAGGTATGGCACCATAGTAAAAAGGCGGCTGGAGGAAATAGAGAGAGTGAAGGAGAGAATCCAAGGCCCTGTAAGTGAAATTGAAACTAGCAGGCACAGACTACAGGATGTGCTGGAAGGGAAGGCTGTTCTGCGAAGGAATCTGCCCACTAAATACCTTCTGTTGGAAGAGAAGTTGATACACCCTGATCTCTCCACAAAGAGTATTGGACTCCTTGAGAACCTGATTGGCTTCTATGGGCGCTTGGGGGAGCTGACAAGCTCCCTGAACAAGGTTGATGTGAATGAGAAGGAAAGACTGAGGATGCGACTGGCTGAAATTCAGGAGTGGTTGGACAAGCCCCGACTAAGCTTCACGGGCCAGGAGCTCGTTGACCTTCAGAGTGAGATTCAGAGGCTTACGTATCTTGTGAGTCTCCTGGCCAGATGCAAAACAGCAACTGCAAAGATGAATACTTCTATCTCGAGAGAAATTGGTGCTCTGCGGCAGATCCTAGAGGGAACAAAGAAGTTCACCCAAGAGGATGAAAAGGTGGTGAAGAGGAAAATGGAAGAACTAAAGACAGCTCTTCCAGAGTCTGGGTTGGGAATCTCGGAGGAGGAGCGAGTGCAGATTGTTAGTGCCTTGGGTTATCCACGAGGTCACTGGTTCAAGTGCCCCAATGGCCACATTTACGTGATTGGTGATTGTGGTGGGGCAATGGAGAAGAGCAAGTGCCCAGAGTGTAAGGAAGTTATTGGAGGTGCAAACCACACTCTGGAACACAGCAACCGTTTAGCTCCTGAAATGGATGGGGCAACTCATGCGGCCTGGTCAGAAACTGCAAATAACATGCTCAACTTTGAGGAACTCCGCAGGATGATATAGAAGAGCTACATTTGGCTCAGTAGTACACCTTTTAACCCCATGAATGCTCTTTCTTCCCCACTGCCAAGCTGCATAGCACGTGGAGTAGCCAGCGGGTGCTCACTGGCTCTGTTTGACAAATTGGATTTCTTGTGATTAACACTTGCTGTGTTTGTTGCTAGAACTAGTCCTATTTCCTACTCGCACTTTATATGTCGAATCAAGCAACTGAATGAAATAGATGTAACAAATTCATCTGCTTTAGCCTGAAGCATGCGCGGGGCCTAATGTAGTTCCAGGGCTGGCTGGCACCAGTCGGTGGCATCAGCCCCTGCAGTAGCTCTGGCTATTGCTCATTGCACTGAGTGTTTAACCCTCAATCTTTTATAGCTCAATAAATTTTATTCATAGTCATTTAAATGCAATATTTCCTGGGAGCAGCCTCGCGCCGCTCCCCCCCCCCGGAGAGACCGGGACACCCCGCTACAGGTCCGCTCCTCCCCACCGGCCCACTATTGGCGCGGCCGGAAGTCGCTCTGGTGCCCCAAGGAAGGGCTCGGGCACGACCGGAAGTAGCTGTGGGGTTTCAGTGACGGGGGAGCGCGTGACCGGAAGAAGTTCTAGTGCCCCACTAAGCGAGGTCCGGTTCGGCTGCAAGTAGCTCAGGTGACCCGTTGAATCGGATCCGGGCGCTGCTGGAAGCAGCTGTGGAGTCTCACTGAGGGCTGGGAATTGGCCGGAAGTAGCTGGGGGGGGGGGGTCGGGG